CGCCCAGGTGTATTAAGGGCCGCCCAGGTATATTAAGGGCCGCCCAGGTGTATTAAGGGCCGCCCAGGTGTATTAAGGGCCGCCCAGTTATATTAGGGGCCGCTCAGGTATATTAGGGGCCGCCCAGGTATATTAGGGGCCGCCAAGGTATATTAAGGGCCGCCCAGGTGTATTAGAGGCCGCCCAGGTATGTTAAGGGCCGCCCAGGTATATTAAGGGCCGCCCAGGTATATTAAGGGCCGCCCAGGTTTATTAAGGTCCGCCCAGGTATATTAAGGGCCGCCCAGGTTTATTAAGGTCCGCCCAGGTATATTAGGGGCCGCCCAGGTATATTAAGGGCCGCCCAGGTATATTAAGGGCCGCCCAGGTATATTAGGGGCCTCCCAGGTATATTAGGGGCCGCCCAGGTATATTAAGGGCCGCCCAGGTATATTAGGGGCCGCCAAGGTATATTAAGGGCCGCCCAGTTATATTAAGGGCCGCCCAGGTATATTAGGGGCCTCCCAGGTATATTAGGGGCCGCCCAGGTGTATTAAGGGCCGCCCAGGTATATTAAGGGCCGCCCAGGTGTATTAAGGGCCGCCCAGGTGTATTAAGGGCCGCCCAGTTATATTAGGGGCCGCTCAGGTATATTAGGGGCCGCCCAGGTATATTAGGGGCCGCCCAGGTATATTAAGGGCCGCCCAGGTATGTTAGGCGACATAATGTACCAATATTTAGAGAAACATTTAGTTATCACGTTATCAAGTCTTAACTCGGTGGATATTTTACAAGCATGTACCAGGTAATGTGACAGTAAACACATCAGAGGTCATTTGTTAGCTACCAAGTAGGTTTTGTTCTGGACTTTTTCCGACAACTTTGTATAATATATCCTACTAGTGAAGGAGAAATTCACCGGAGCAGACAAACAGAGAGAGAGAGAGAGACGGAAAGAAGCAGGCTGTTTGCAGCAGAGGAACGTTAGAGCTGTGAGTGTGAAGAGAAGTGAAGGAGACGGATTCAATAACTGAGTAAAGAGTTAAATAAGGAGCGAATAAAATATTAAATATTAATATCAAAATGGTGAAAAAAGAAACAAGCTACAAATAGTTAAAACATGCCTGTTAACACCGTTGTTCAGTGCACTATTACTACACCTGCAATGCCTGTAATAATACTGCTGTAGAAATGATTTCATTATATTTCATGTATATTTCTATGTACATGTATGTATAATTATAAAAGACTTCAAAATTGCCCTTAGGTGTGAATGTGAGTGTAAGTGGTTGTTTGTCTATGTGATGGACTGGCGACCTGTCCAGGGTGGACCCCGCCTTTCGCCCGATGTCAGCAGGGATTGGCTCCAGCCCCCTGACCCTGTACGCAGGATAAGTGGTTGACGATAGATGGATGGATGGTATAATTATAATAAGTTGTGTAATAGACTGTATAAATGGCAGCAGGTCTGACAGTTTCCTTCTTCTTAACACTGTGAAATGTGAAAGACCAAATATAACTGGAGGGTATTTATCAGAAACACGGAACTAGACGACAAAGTTCACACATTTTAGCAAAAGGCACAAAGATAGACAAACACAACACTATCAGCTAAAATAGATCACACTATAGTGAGAAACAACACCAGCTTCAGACCACAGTTCACTGGAGTCAACAGGAGGAAGTTGCTGCTGTGGTTTAGATGCAGAGCACAACCACTTATATTTGGTCTGCTGAGTCCATCTTCTCTTCTATTTAAAATAATTTAAGCACTTAATAAACACATTATTTACATTAAAACAAACATCAATAATGTTTAAGACCCAACAGTAAAACTGCTTTTTGTATTGTATGTGAGCAGAATGTACAGAGATGTAAATCTGACCATTTATACTTCATGTGTCCTCGTTCAAATGAATTAATATATGTTCCTGTAGTTGTGGTAATGCTGACCATCTGAGATATTTCCTTGGACAGGTTTTCGTTGTTGAATAAAATATGTTTCAAAAGAGTTCAAGAAAAGACTGCAGATCGAGAATTTAATGTAGCTCACAGAGTACTTTTACTCATGTAGCAGATACTTTTAGCCCCCGCCAAAAATGTGAAATCACTTGTCATGACTGGGATTTGAACCCAGAGCCACACAAGTGAACAGAGTTAATCCACCAGTAATAAACCTTCACTTGTTTTTATGCTAACACATTTCATTGATTTGATCAGCTCCCAGTGTGTGAGTGTCTCCTCCCTCACTACAGCGGGCTGTCACAGGAGTTAAAGTTGCTCTTTCTGGAACTGGAAATGCAGAATTTCCCTCTTCTCAGGAGTAACAAACTCAGAGCTGTCTGTAAACCTGCTTTCTGGACTACACTTCTGATAACATATGGGCGGGTCCATTGAGAACAAAACCTACACACCAGGAAGAAGAACTCAGTCTGGCTTCAGGTTTATCAGCTGCAGCAGCTCTGCGGTCATGGCTGTATCATTAACATCATTCGTGGCTTTGTTCTCCTGTTCATGGATCTTTGTTCTGTGTCAAGGTAAGAGGAGTGTGTGTGCCATGTGCTTTAGCAGCCTTTAAAGAACAAGAAGAAAGTTTTGTTTTTCACTGATATGTAGAACAGCAGAAACCCAGGTCTTGGTCTTAAGACTACTTTTTGATGGTCTTGGTCGCGGTCTTGTCTGGGTCTTGGATTTTATTTGAAGACAAGTCAAGACCACACCTTTGGGAATATCAATAAATTGCTTGTTTATTTATTTGTTAACATCCTAACTTTGATTGGATGTAAAACATTTTGCTTCGAATGCAACCAATAATTAAAAATGTGTTGTTCCCGTTAACGACTGTCCCCCCTCCCCACGATGGGAAAGATGGAAAAGGAGTGTTGAATAAAGAAGTTAATGATTTCAGCTCTTAGTGTTTGTATGTGGGTGTTTTTATGGGAATGTGGATCTTTCAGATCAGTTTGAGAAGTACCTCTGATCTCGTTGCACATTTTAGTCATATAATGTGGGGAACTGGTCTTGGTCTTGACTTGGTCTCGGTTTGGGCGCTCTTGACTACAACACTACTCATTAGTCCTTCACCATTTACAGTCTAGAGATATTTTGATCTGTGCCTTCTAACGTTTAATGACCATTTATTGTTAATGAGATTCTCCATCTGAAATTCTAGATGTTCATCTTTTGAGCAATTTACTTTAATATCCGATATATTTTCTTTGTGTTCACTTATTTTTTTGTAGGCCGGGACTCTTTAATCATTTTAACATCTTCATTAAAAGTCTAGCCCGTTGACATTTGTTGATCTGATAATAAACTAACCTCTCGTAACAACGGCTAATAAATAATATCAAGTAACTTTAAACAAATATCTAATTATCTAAATGACCATAAATACATATTTTGTGTAAACTACAACAAAATGGTGAACCATCCTGCTTTAAAATACAACACACAATCCATTTCTTCACATAAAGATGTATTTAACAAGATAAAGATATTTCCCATTATTTTATTATTTTAAACAAAATCTAGAAATTGACAGGTATCAGAAAATAATGGTTTTAAAGGAAAAGTGATGAGCAGGTAGATGATTGATTAATTATGGGTTATTATGCAATTATCTTCTGTTCAATGATCTTTGAGAAATGTGTAAAACCTCCTGTTTGAGGTTTAAGTGCATTTTCATTATTCATACAATGTGTTTTATATCAAAGTGTGCTGTCTGTATAATGAGCTCAACACTTGACCCAGAGCTTTGTTTTAAAGAGAGAGAACCTTTTCTCTAAAGGTGAAAAATGTAAGTCCGATTTTTGAAATCCTTCAAATCTCTTGTGAAAACATTACTCATTAGGACAAATTCTTTTGGTCCTTGAAATGGGTTTACCAAAGTCTTAGGGTCAGTAGAGAATTCATAATACATGTATGAAGTGTTGAGACTGAGCTGAAATAAAATAGGTCTGAATAATAACTTTAAACTACATACCAAGCTTTAGGGGATGTGTGCAAATGAAAAAGTAGCAGGTTTTTCTTCCAAACCAAACTTATAACAATATTAATGTTTTTTTTTTTAAACCAAATATTTTATATGTATTTAAAGACACAGAAAAACTCTTTTTATTCACCATATTTACAGAATGTGCATTTTCATGTTTCAGTTTCTGAACTATCGTGCCATGCTGCAAAACAGTTTCTGTCCAGAGAAGATCTCTGTATCTACAGTTTTTCATGTGTGCTACCTGTCCCGTCCATCCCAAACAGCAGCGAATCACACCTGAGCTGTGGGGAAACTCTCTCTTCCATTTCAAAAACTCCAGCAACTTTACATTAACAAATATAAATAAAGGTTGAGGTTCTACAACCTCAGGGGATTGTAGGCTGCTGGATATGTTTGATCTCCTGCTTGTTCATAACTCAACAATGTCAATGTTCTGCAAAAACAGCTAAAGCTCAGCCAGTTTTCTATACTTAATGAAGCTGCCCTATAGGCAGGTCTCTAGACCAGCTGACTCTGTGGTAATGTACTGCTCTGTATATTCTCTTTTTATTAATAACTTCTCCAAAGACAACGATTTGTTGCTACTTAATTATTGACTTCATGTCTCTCCAGCAATATACAAATTTCCTCGACAGTCCCAAGCAGAAAACAGATGAAAGTAAAATGTCTCCTGTCTGATGGTGCGGAGGACGACTTGACTGACAGCTGTAGAAATGAGCAACATGAAGTCAGCGTGCAGCTGCAGCAGAGGAGTTAGTCTCTCCTTTCTGCAGCTGGGACTCAAGTTGTCTGAGAACAGGGTTTGAAATGCTGCTGAGTTCACATGTGCTGTTTTATAGAGAACTGATCTCTGCTGCTTCCATCAAAAGATGTTTGAACAACAGGAAACATTACAAGTCCTGACTGGAGGCTTTTCTCTTTCTGTTCAGAGACACAGGAGCTGAAGGTGAAGCCTGGAGAGGACGCCACTCTTCCCTGTCAGTGTCACAGAGGTGCTGACATAGAAGTGATGAAGTGGATCAGATCTGACATGAAGTCAGATGGTTTGTCTTCTACCTCAGCCCTGATCAAATAAACGGAGAGTACCAGAATTCATTGTTTCAGGGTCGAGTGGAGCTTCAAGATCCAGAGATGAAGGACGGAGACGCTTCTGTGATTCTGAAGAACGTCAACATCAAGGACACTGGAACATATGAGTGTTGGATTGGAGTGAAAAACTCAGGACGCAGAAAGAGAGACGCACCTGAACCCATCAGCACCATCAAGCTGACAGTGACAGGTGAGCGTGTAGAGCTCAGAGTGTCTCTTTGTCTCTCAGGTGAGCGTGTAGAGCTCAGAGTGTCTCTTTGTCTCTCAGGTGAGTGTGTAGAGCTCAGAGCGTCTCTTTGTTTCTCAGGTGAGCGTGTAGAGCTCAGAGTGTCTCTTTGTCTCTCAGGTGAGTGTGTAGAGCTCAGAGTGTCTCTTTGTCTCTCAGGTGAGCGTGTAGAGCTCAGAGTGTCTCTTTGTCTCTAAGGTCAGCGTGTTGAGCTCAGAGTGTCTCTTTGTCTCTCAGGTGAGCGTGTAGAGCTCAGAGTGTCTCTTTGTCTCTCAGGTGAGTGTGTAGAGCTCAGAGCGTCTCTTTGTTTCTCAGGTGAGCGTGTAGAGCTCAGAGTGTCTCTTTGTCTCTCAGGTGAGTGTGTAGAGCTCAGAGTGTCTCTTTGTCTCTCAGGTGAGCGTGTAGAGCTCAGAGTGTCTCTTTGTCTCTAAGGTCAGCGTGTTGAGCTCAGAGTGTCTCTTTGTCTCTCAGGTGAGTGTGTAGAGCTCAGAGTGTCTCTTTGTCTCTCAGGTGAGCGTGTAGAGCTCAGAGTGTCTCTTTGTCTCTCAGGTGAGGGTGTAGAGCTCAGAGTGTCTCTTTGTCTCTCAGGTGAGCGCGTAGAGCTCAGAGTGTCTCTTTGTCTCTCAGGTGAGCGTGTAGAGCTCAGAGTGTCTCTTTGTCTCTCAGGTGAGCGTGTAGAGCTCAGAGTGTCTCTTTGTCTCTCAGGTCAGCGTGTAGAGCTCAGAGTGTCTCTTTGTCTCTCAGGTCAGCGTGTAGAGCTCAGAGTGTCTCTTTGTCTCTCAGGTGAGCGTGTAGAGCTCAGAGTGTCTCTTTGTCTCTCAGGTGAGCGTGTAGAGCTCAGAGTGTCTCTTTGTCTCTCAGGTGAGCGTGTAGAGCTCAGAGTGTCTCTTTGTCTCTCAGGTCAGCGTGTCGAGCTCAGAGTGTCTCTTTGTCTCTCAGGTGAGCGAGTATTTCATTTTAAAACAGAGACCTTTTTCTACGTTTGCACCTCCCGTTCAGACTAAAATGGCGAAAATAAAGACCCCAAAAGAAGAAGTTTGGAAACGCTGCTGAACCCATTTTGCATTTCAAAACTCTGCGTAGCGTTTTAGTGCAGACGTGCAAAAACGGAGGACTTTAGAAACGATGACGCAGACGCTCACATTCAGCTCTCTGATTGGGTCTCATAAGTCATGCAAAGCAGAAACACAATGCTACTGACAGAGTTGTTGATTTGTTTTTTTTAAATAAAATATTATGTACCGTGTAAATAACACTTATCTGCCTACACTTGATCTGTGCAGGTCGCCGTATTTACTTTGCAACGACTTCCACACTGTCACTGTGGCGTGTGAGTGAGATGGATGGGGCGGGGCTAAGGGCTGCGTAAACGTCCATGTGGAATAGACCAACAGGCCTGGGGAGAAGGGGGGTTGGCACGTGTCGCTCAACCTTCGGCCAACCATTTCATTACTGGTAAAAAAGTAAAGGCAAAGGAAGGCGGCCCACTGGGAACTGTCACGGTGCTCCAGACGGCCACTGATGTGAATATTCACAAGAAACTCTGTTCCTGTCCAGCACTGTAGTTTACTGTGTGGACGGATGGACAGCAGAGACCAACATGTGTCCTCTCCCCTCTCGTGGTGTCTGTCCATGCAGATCCAGCAGCTTCATTTGTCTCTCTGAGAAGTAAAGCAGTTTCATACTGTAGGGACTCTTTCCTCAGTAGAAGTAGTTCAGACACAGTCTGAGTAGAGGACGGACAGACTGGGGACACATTTGGAAAACAAGGACAAAGATTCAAAGCTTCTAGGAAATAATAAACTTCACATGTTTAATATTTCAGCTGTTTGTTCAGGGTCAGAAATGCTGATGTCTGTATTCAGATGGGAAATAATATCAATAATCAATAATCTCCAAACAAGCAGAAAGCAGATGAAAGTAAAATGTCTCCTGTCTGATGGTGCGGAGGACGACTTGACTGACAGCTGTAGAAATGAGCAACATGAAGTCAGCGTGCAGCTGCAGCAGAGGAGTTAGTCTCTCCTTTCTGCAGCTGGGACTCAAGTTGTCTGAGAACAGGGTTTGAAATGCTGCTGAGTTCACATGTGCTGTTTTATAGAGACCTGATCTCTGCTGCTTCCATCAAAAGATGTTTGAACAACAGGAAACATTACAAGTCCTGACTGGAGGCTTTTCTCTTTCTGTTCAGAGACACAGGAGGTGAAGGCTGGAGAGGACGCCACTCTTCAGTGTCAGAGTCACAGAGGTGCTGACATAGAAGTGATAGAGTGGAGCAGAACTGACCTGAAGTCAGATGGTTTTGTCTTCTTATTCAGTAACGACCGCTCATATGAAGAAATCCAGCACCCATATTTTTATGGTCGAGTGGAGCTTCAAGATCCAGAGATGAAGAACGGAGACGCTTCTGTGATTCTGAAGAACGTCAACATCAACGACACTGGAACATATGAGTGTTGGATTAGAGAGAAAAACTCAGGACGCAGAAAGAGATACCTATCTGAGATCATCAGCATCATCGAGCTGAGAGTGACAGGTGAGTGTGTAGAGCTCAGAATGTCTCTTTGTCTCTCAGGTGAGCGTGTAGAGCACAGAGCGTCTCTTTGTCTCTCAGGTGAGTGTGTAGAGCTCAGAGTGTCTCTTTGTCTCTCAGGTGAGCGTGTAGAGCACAGAGCGTCTCTTTGTCTCTCAGGTGAGCGTGTAGAGCTCAGAGTGTCTCTTTGTCTCTCAGGTGAGCGTGTAGAGCTTAGAGTGTCTCTTTGTCTCTCAGGTGAGCGTGTAGAGCTCAGAGCGTCTCTTTGTCTCTCAGGTGAGCGTGTAGCGCTCAGAGTGTCTCTTTGTCTCTCAGGTGAGTGTGTAGAGCTCAGAATGTCTCTTTGTCTCTCAGGTGAGCGTGTAGAGCACAGAGCGTCTCTTTGTCTCTCAGGTGAGTGTGTAGAGCTCAGAGTGTCTCTTTGTCTCTCAGGTGAGTGTGTAGAGCACAGAGCGTCTCTTTGTCTCTCAGGTGAGTGTGTAGAGCTCAGAGTGTCTCTTTGTCTCTCAGGTGAGCGTGTAGAGCACAGAGCGTCTCTTTGTCTCTCAGGTGAGTGTGTAGAGCTCAGAGTGTCTCTTTGTCTCTCAGGTGAGTGTGTAGAGCTCAGAGTGTCTCTTTGTTTCTCAGGTCAGCGTGTAGAGCTTAGAGTGTCTCTTTGTCTCTCAGGTGAGCGTGTAGAGCACAGAGCGTCTCTTTGTCTCTCAGGTGAGTGTGTAGAGCTCAGAGTGTCTCTTGTCTCTCAGGTGAGTGTGTAGAGCTCAGAGTGACTCTTTGTCTCTCAGGTGAGTGTGTAGAGCTCAGAGTGTCTCTTTGTCTCTCAGGTCAGCGTGTAGCGCTTAGAGTGTCTCTTTGTCTCTCAGGTGAGCGTGTAGAGCTCAGAGTGTCTCTTTGTCTCTCAGGTAAGCGTGTAGAGCTCAGAGTGTGTCTTTGTCTCTCAGGTGAGCATGTAGAGCTCAGAGTGTCTCTTTGTCTCTCAGGTGAGTGTGTAGAGCTCAGAGTGTCTCTTTGTCTCTCAGGTGAGCGTGTCGAGCTCAGAGTGTCTCTTTATCTCTCAGGTGAGTGTGTAGAGCTCAGAGTGTCTCTTTGTCTCTCAGGTGAGTGTGTAGAGCTCAGAGTGTCTCTTTGTCTCTCAGGTGAAGCTGCTTCCTGGTAGTTGAGCTGAGAAACATCACAGATCAGATGTTTGTGTTTTAGAAAGATGTTGCTGATGAGACTTTAGAGGAAACAGCTGCTACGAGTCATGTGATCAAAGTGCAGTAGATAATGTCTGACATTCTGTTCACCTGCTGACAGCTGATACCTCACACCTGTTTCTGCTCTGCAGGTCACACAGCTGGAAACATCTGGGAGGGAAACGTTGGACTGATACTCCGTCTCAGAGTTGTTTGTTTGCTTTCTCTTCTTCTTGTTGCTGTTGGTGGTTTTATGGTCAATCAAATGATTCAAAGGAGACACAGACCAGAAACAACTCCTGACTCAGAGAGTGCAGAAGACGCCCTAAACCCATCATCATCATCATCATCATCAGTCTGACATGATCCAGGTGAGTGTGTAGAGCTCAGAGTGTCTCTTTGTCTCTCAGGCCTGTACCATGAAGCAGGATTTGAATGATCCAGATAACTTCGGGGTTAATCCTGTGTTTTCAGCACCACAACGGTGGTTCACTTCTTAGATCGCCATGGTAACTTATGATGAAGGGCTAACCTGCTCCGGAGCAGCTTATAAGAGATCAACTCCATAAAAACGCCGCCTACTGACTGATCAGCTCCCCGGGGAAATAACATGCTGAAATAACATGCTGTAGCCTACGTATTTGGGTGTGAATGCTGCAACCTTTATTATTATTACAGTTGGGTCTCTGTGTCTCACGGTGTCACAGTCTTATAGACCACCTCTCTCTCTGTCTCACAGTCAGTCTCATAGTCTTATTGTCCACCTGTGTCTCTGTCACACAGGACACATATATGCATAACAGTGCGCGCACACACACATTAAAGGAGACTTATTAGGCTTCTGATATTTTCTGTCTTATGTAACTCAATAACAACTGGCAACTCCTATGTTTAGTCTGTCTGTACTGCTGAGCGGCATAATCATCTTGCTTCAGTATCTCGGCCAATCAGAACACAGTGGGCTTTTGGGGGGGGGGGGCTTAAAGAGACAAAAGCATCTACTGCTTGTTTAAGAGAGAGGCCGAAATGAGAGCTTGCATGAAGTTCAGCAATTCAGTTTAGCATTTGCCTCCAACAGCCAGCAGTCTAGTTAACTCTGTTATTTAAACACCCACCAATCCATATTTGTTTATTTACTTATTGTGCATATGATAATGAATATTTTGACTTTTTAATAATCTTGTTACATGTGTTGTTGTCATGAGCAGCCTGGACCATCTACAACCGCAGTAACAACGACACGCAGGCCT